GGCGCTCTTATAGCCGCAGTCACGTGGCTGCGCACGCTCCCGGCGCCCCGCTGCAGCTGTCGGGCTGAGCCGCCCCTGCAGCGGCGGCTTCCCAGGACCGCCCCCCACAGATGCTGCCCCTGGCCACTGATCCCCGGACCAGCTTGCCCAGCCTCTCTGGCTACGCGATCTTGCGGGACCTACTGGTCACCGCCTAAGGAAGTGTCCTCCTGGACCCCAAAAGGAAGTGTCCTCCTGGAGCCCCAAAAGGAAGTGTCCTCCTGGAGCCCCAAAAGGAAGTGTCCTCCTGGAGCCCCAAAAGGAAGTGTCCTCCTGGAGCCCGGGTTTTGGAGGGGGGCTTTGAGGCATCCGCCAGGTAAAGTGCCCACGAGACCCAGGATAATGGAGCCCTTAAAATATAAACAAGAAATCTTCTGTCACTATGGTTATACTTGGTATATAATTGGTCTGAAGTGCCTAAATTAAACGTGGGGACATACTGCAAAACTTTCTGAAGCCTGGAAGCTTGGTCTAGCAAGCCAGAGAGCACAGCCATTTTCAAGTACTTCAAGTGGGAACTGGCTCCATCCTTAAGCCTATGGGGAATCTGCTCCCTAAGGGTTAATTAACATGTCAGCCACTCCCAGGATCAAGGAAAAAGATACAGAAAATTTCACCAGCGTGTGCATCTATCTACACAGGGCATTCTTCAGAGACCAGGGATGGGATTAAAGTCAGCATTTCCTGTCCTCTGCACATAGGTTGTATTGGTATAGCGTTATGTTTTTAATGACGTTAATTCTGTTCCTACCTATATAAGCTCAAACTTAAGTTTGTTCAAATAACTTTAGAAAGATTAGTATCAAATCCAAAACTTATAAAATTGAATGAAATGTAAAGACCAGAAGTCTTATTAAAATATATGCAAAATAGGACCCTCCCTGGTGGCACAGAGGATTAAAGCACAGCAGTAGGAAGCAAACAGCCATTTCAGCCAGAGTTGGATCCCAGCCCCGAGGAGATCCACAGGCTGCAGTAGACTTTTCCTGCCCCACCCGCTGCTCCCCTCAGCAGTGTACTTCGTTGATCTGCCTGTTCTGCTCCCCACTCTGTCTCTGGTGAAGCCTCTCATCACCCCTGCATCTCTGGCCTATACCCCAGTTCTGTATGAATAAATAAATAAATCTTTAAAAAAATACAAAACATCACATGAAATCTAGGATAACGTTTCAGTAACAATCTTTATGATGTGGGAGATTTGTTCCAGGGATAGAAAGGTGAAAAATGATAATAGCAATAGCAACACATAATCTTATACATCCCATTCCTTTGACAGGAAGAGGTGCAAGGAACATTATATAGATTTATCACGGGTGCTAAGAGAAAGCTGTTACCTTGCTTGAACATGTACAAACACACACATACACACACACTTGAGTTTGGTGAAATAAAATTTGATGAACTGCTTTTCCGGTTTGACTCCACACTCTTGATTCTTGAGTAAACTCACTTAATTTTGCCTTTTCTAATTTACTTAAACTAACAGATTTCATGTTTGAACCTGAACTTCCAAGCCTGTGGAAGCATCTCTTAGCGTTATGATGGTTTGTAGTATTGTTATAGGGCAGGGTGAGGGGCACTCCATAACCCCCAAACCTAAGTATTTTCTGCCATCATACTGTTGTGTCCAGATTTCAAATCCCACAAGCCATGAGAGAGACTGTTACAGGACACCAAATCTGTTTCAGGACAGGGAGAGAGGGAAACCCCTGAAGCCCAAAACCTGCCTGCACTAAGTGGGTTCTGCCATCCTCCACATCAAGACAAAACATGTAAAACTTTAATGAAAAGGGACTTTAATACAGTGAATATACAATACGGAACACAAAGAATGGTTTTTTCTTCCCTGCGGAAGGAAGCCCCTTCCCAAGAGAAGAGCACTAACCCAGCCTTTACGATTTCTCCAGGCCTTCTCTGGACTGAGGCTGGGGCTTGTGCTATCCAGCTGACTGGCAGCCAAACATCCAGGATACTTAAGAGCAAGCTCTGGCAGGGGTCACTTGGGGATTGTTGCCCAACCAGAGCGTTGGGACACTCTGTCAAGTAGTCACTCTCTTTCTGTCTTAGGTTTCCTCATTCTCCCTTTGCTCAGGTTCCAACGTAGAGGCTGGAGGCATTGAGAAGTGAAAGGCCTTAAGAGTGGGTCAGAGGGCCGGCACGCCCCCCAACGCCCACCCCCCAGACTCTAACCTGAGGGACAGCTTCACACAGAAGCAGTTGGACGCTCTCCCAAGCCGGCCCACTCTTCAGTGGTGGAAAACCCTGTCAGTCACCCTCTAGGAACGTGCACAGCCCTGATACTTGCCACTTGACAGACCCACAACCTCTGCCTCTGCTTGTTCCTTCAGCCCCAGTAAAACGGCAACAAATTAATCAGCATGCCCCAAAGGTATTTAATCGGGGGTGTTATTTTAACTCGAAAGCTATTCAGTTCCAGGGATTCTCCGAAAAACATTTAATAAGGTAACATTCAAGGACTTCAGGAAGCAACAAGAATGACTTCCGAGATAAAGCAGGGGATCGGACAAAAAGCTCAGGGCCACTGGCTACAACACCTGCAGCCAGCAACCCTTAGAGACGGGCTGAAGCCTAGTGACAGCCGGGCAGGAGGCGCGCACGCTGTCCCGGGCGCCCGGACGCTGGGTCAGGCTGCAACGTTCCGCAGCTCGCCGCAGGGACAGCCCCGCTGTTAGCCTCAG